CGTGTGTTTTTTATTGATAACAAAACCTTATATATACATATTCTTGAATGTAAGAAAAGGAAACCTACAGTTACCTATACACAAGTGTATTTAACTATTAGTACCTTTAGCCTTAATTATCCTAATTACACATAATATGTGTTTTTCAATTCTGCTCCTCAAGCAGGTGAATGTACATTGTCCATTTCCAATTTGGTATTGATTGATTGGAATACTGGATTATTTAATCTAACTTGAGAGTGCTACATCAGAAAAACACTTCTTTCAATTGACTTTTCTATTTTGCAGCGAACAAAGCCACACTTTTTCACACCACAACAATACTTCTTTCTTCTTCTCTCTTCCTATATTTATTTTGTTATCATTTTCGGAGGATTTTTATTGTTTTTGAGAGGCAAAAGAGTAGTCATATAACAAGGCACCAAGGGATTCCTACCTAAATGCAAAAGAAGCTTTACAAATTCCAAAAGGAAAAAATATGTACATGTGAAGGTTACTTATATCCTCTTGGAGTTAAGAGGAGGATGATTAAATAATATACTAAATTTTTGGAACCATTGATCTCCGGTTCTAGCAAAAAAGATAAAAAATACTATAAAAAACCATCTTCTTCCTTTTTTTTTCTTTATCCCAAATTCCAAAACTACTTCACTAAATTTGTCAAATCACGCACGAGAACTCTGCTTCAAACCTTAAAAAGATTTCTTCAAATGACATATTTTCTTGTACTTCCTCTGAGCAACAAATCTAAGTGGTTGTTTCATATATATTTCTTCTAGGAGATTGCCATGAAGGAATTCATTCTTGATATCTAACTGGTATAAGGGTCAATTTCGAGATGTCATAATAGAGATGAGTAAACGGACAAATGTAAATTTGGCTATCAGAGAGAAGGTATCAGAATAATTCACCCTATGAGTTTGAGCATAACGTTTTGCTACAAGTCTGATTTTAAGTCTTGCCACAAAGGTATCAAGGTTTACTTTGACTGAAAATATGCATTTACACCCACGACCATTTTGCTTTTGGGTAAATCTATCAAATCTCATGTATTATTTTTATCGAAATCATTTATCTCGTTAAACATTACATTATATCAATGAGAGTGATTCAAAACTTTTTTAACTATACAAATTATGAAAATTGATTGTATAGAAGTAATGAATGAGGTGGACGAAGGAAACAGATGATCATATGAAATAAAATTAGCAATGAGATAAGTAGATTTAGGAATGGAACAGTAATGTTTACCTTTTCGAAGACTAATGGGAAGATCAAGGTCATGTGAGGTAAAATCAGATGACGAGAGAGCTAATGCTAGACATGTATC